CGTTGTCAGCCTACTACGCGATCCTAAAGTGCTGGGTACATGTCACCACACTTCTGTCAACCAAATGAGGCAGGGGTCTGTCTCTGGCGCAGAGACCGGGGCAGACAGGAGAGATGAAGTCTCAGTCGCTGTCTGAAGAAAACTGACTCTGTGTAGATCAGCTTCTATAGAGTCTTTAACAAGAATGATGATAAACTAATTGGTCTTTTGGGGTTGAGATGCCTGATTTGCCTGCTTTGGTTATGAAGACGACCTTCACTTCTCTCCATCTTGCTGGTGTATGCCCCAGCGTTAAGCAAACTGCAAAAATTTGCAAAAATGCCAGTTATGCTACAAAAATCCGTGGAAAGCATTTCAGAACCAATGCTGAAAAAATTTTCAGCATAGGTTTTTATTTTCCAATCCAGTTTTTCCCTATTGAAAAAGGGGTTCCCTTTTGATATGGGAATAACCTCTTAATTTTTGACAATAAGGCCCCTTTTGACTAAGGTTACTTTGTTGTCACTATGTATATTCACAGTGCCCTGCTAGAGGTTTGAAAGGTATTGTGTATAAAGTGGTAAGACCTGATGTGATGGCTGTGGAGACTGGATCTGGAGGTTCTACTATAGACCTCCCAATTAGAAAGTAACCGGGGGTTAGCACATCTAGATCACTCGGATCATTTGTCATTGCATACAGTGGTCGAGAATTCAAGCAGCCTTCGATCTAGTGCATAAGTGTTATCATTTCCTCGTATGTCAAACAACTCTTCGCAGGTGGTAGGTACCTACTTCATAAATTTGACTGCCGCCTACCATAACCCGCCAAAGTGTGATGCTCCTGGGGGCATGAAATGTCACTATGTTCCCACTGATGATGGTCATTACTGAAGTAATATGTCTGGCAATTCCTGCTAAAGTTTCAGGCCTAAGTATATTGCATCGTTAAGACTGATTCCACTTGAAGTTTTACTTGATGCATCAAACACTACTCTTAATTTTATTGTCATGCTGGCTTCTTTTATTACAGGCTGGTGAGGAATGTAGTATGGGATACTGTTTAGTTGCGGGCATGTTCTCATATGATTGAGTTTTATGTATTCTTCCATGAATTGAGTGTATTTTTCTTCAAGTTGGGGATCTTTTGAAAATCGCTTCTCCTGCAGCAGTAGTCGTGCAGCTGCACGTGGTCTTGAGATCCCTAGTTGTAGTTTATCGTCAAATGGAATTTTAACTGTGTACGTACCGTCGCTGTTTCTGCTCGTGTTGAGTTGATAATGGTTTTCGCAGAATTTCTCTTCTTCAGTGGTTGGCCTGCTTGGGGCTACTTCTTCTAGTTCTCAGAATTTCGAATTACTGATCTGTCTCAATGTACGTTACTAGACTGACAACTTGCATATTTTCTCCTAGAATGTTTCCAGACAGAATTCACCCAAACTCGGTGTACTGTCTGAGTAGTCCATCTTCTGTCTTCCGAATGCCTGTTCGAATTATTCCTCCATATTCTTTTGCCCCCAATATGATGTCGATTGGCCCTGGTCGGTAGAACGTGGGATCAGCAAGTACATCGTTTTTCCATTGGTCGATGTTTACGGCTATTTCGTCACTTGGTAGTGTTCTTGTCAGTTGGGGTAAAACAACACATTGAATTTCCATTTAGAAACTGCTAGGGAATCTTGGCTTGACGTTTATTTCTACCATTCATTTTGCCATTTGAGGTTCGGCGCTTCCAAGTCCGAATACGTTGGCTCTTATGCGCTTACGTGGTATGGATAGTAATGAAGCAGCTTCTTCAGTTATGAATGTGGAGTGAGAGCCTGGATCTATTAGCACACGTAAATGTTTAACTATCCCTTGGTTATTGTGAACTTTGATGACTGCTGTTGCCAACAGAATCAATTCGTTGTGTCTCCCAAGGTGATTGGTTGAAAACTGCCTTGTGTCTCTACCGGGTTGCTGATTTGGTTGGACGTTTGTGTTGTTTGGTTGCTGGAAGCTTCAAGCTTCTTGTTCCTCTGTTCGTTAATGTACCATAGTATGGTGGAATTTTTTGCAGGTGTGACAGACGACGGTTGAATTATATCTTATGTGCGCTGGGTGTCTCAGGCAGGTTTTGCAGATCTTCTTCTCCTCGATACAGATGGAGTAAATGTTTGAAACTTCTGACAGTTGTAGATGCTGTGATTAGGCTTGTTGCAGTATCCGCAGCTTTCAGTTGTGCCGTGGGTTTGCTCGCTGGAATAGACCTATCTATTTTTACCTGGTATGCGCGCGCAACACGAGGCAATGTCTTTTTATTGGCTAGCTAATGCAGGTGTGAGGTTATCGTTTTGCACGCTGGGCATCTCTTTTTCCTTGTTCATTGCACGTGATCTGACAAGAATAAATCTAAAGTTGATATTCAATTTGACAAGTGTCATTCAAAAGTTGTTTGAAATTTTCATTGACAAATACGTTGCACAACACGCGGTTTTTCTCCTTTTCTTTTTATCCTGTGCAAATAAGAAGGACGGATTGCTATACGTAAGTCTAACATAATTTGGTACGTTTTGCCTCGTCTTGCGCAATGAGCGTTCTGTGTCTTTTTTTATTTAATGAAGTTTTCGTATTATTACCTCTTTGTCTGGTAAAATAGATAGGTCTATTGTTTTTACCTTGTACGCAGGCTTTAAGGGATTGAAATATTGTTTGCAGAAACTTGAGTACGTCATCCAATTCTGATTCGTGAGTGATTGATGGTGTTCCAAGATCTCATCAATCAACTTGTTGATGATTAGTCTCTCGTTGTAGTATCTTCTCTCGAGAATGTTCCAGCTTGCAATGTAGTTGTCACTGTTTATCTGTAGATGTTGAATGACTCTACTGGGCCTTCATATATTTCATTATTTCAATGTCGGTGAGGTCACCATTCTCATGAACCATTCTTCATATAATTTATCGAACATTAGCAATTTCACTTGAAGCAGCGATATGTTGTTTGACCGTGGTCACTTGGGTAATTTTCGAACCTTTTTGAGATTTTCTTATAGACATTTGCATATAAAAATGGTCGAAATTGCTGCCGAATCAACATTGCTAATCTACTCAAAAAATCTACAAGAATTAAGACTAGGATTTCTTGTTGCAGTTAACATTCAAACAAGAATCATACAATTTGCCGCATCAAAAATTAAAAATTCTTTGCGCATTTTTTCTATTTCAATTGTCGCGTGCATATTAATTTTCCCGAAGCCAGAAAGCATTTCGGCATCCCGGAGGAACGTATTTGGAGCGATTTTCTGGTTTCAGGAGGATCATAAGCCGCCGAGTGTGACCCTTAAATGTATTAGTCATACACCGGCGCCCTCTTTAACATTCCGGAGCAGGTAAATTAATGTTGGAATTCCTTAATTTAAATAGGTAATTTGTATGAGAGATATTACATAAATTCATTCTGGTCAGATATTTCCACCCTATGGCAAAATTATTGTTTTCTTGTCAACTGCAGCCGCTACTTAAATTATAAGCATCCTTGGAAAAGGGACACAAATGAGAACGCAAAATGTGTGTCTTCGTTGAGGTCAAAATAGGGTCTTTCTCCATTATACCATAAGAAAATAAATAAATGAGATTTGTTGTTTTTTGTGAAATGAAGCATGCTTGATAGAGCTTTAGAATATTCAAAGCATGAACATTTTGTCACTAAATAAATTTTAAACTAAAATAAGTGAGGGTGCATTAATTTTTGACGCACAATTTTATACCTTTTCCATTTGGGAGGTCTTAGATTCAGAAGCGTAACACTTAAAAAAACAAAATGGGTGATTTCTTTTTTCACAAACCCACAATGATCGTCAAAGCTTACGTTTGTTACGCCACTGTCTTAGAATTAATAGAAAGTTTTTAAATAGTTTTTGCTTATCAGAATGGCTGTACATAAATACGAGCAAGCAATATTAAAAAAAAAAAAAACATAAACAGAATAATCTAAAATATGTTTCCACAATCATATTTTAGATATTTTTGTTGTATTATGTATATTTATTTATTATTCGTTTATATAGGCATGTAACTTTAAACTTTAGGTGGTACTTAGTGATATTTCTTGGTAGATTTTAGGCAAACACTTGTTCATAACTTGTATATAAGCCGCTTTATGTGTGATTTATTTATGTGAAAAATTGTTTGTAGAATTCATGTTTCATTTCTCACCAATTTAGTTTTGCATTTTTGTTTGCTGTTTGATTATTTTTCTTCATTGAATTCTTTTTTCTCTTGAAATTGATTTGTCGCCAAATTTTTTTCTCTCTCCAAGAATTTTTTTATTAGGGAACATTGGCCTGTCCAGGATCGTTTTCTTTTATACCTATAAAACCCGGTCATGAATTTTACGGATCCTAATTTTTGCCATTAGGATTTTCACTACTTTATTTGGGATTCGTCAATAATACATCTTGAAAGAAATTGCTTTCAGAATCTTTTTCTTTTAATGATCTTCCAGTTTAATTTTTTTTATTATTATTTATCTACAGCAAACAAAATGTTCATTATTCTATTCATTCAAAACTCATTTGGATTATTTTCCATTTTTACCCACTTTAGAAGCAAAATCATATTAAAAAAAAAAAATGTAAAATGACTAAAGAAATATAAACAAAATATAACAAATAATAATATTGCATGATAAAACGAATACAAACAAACATACACACAAACAATAAACACTTTTCCAAGTTTGTGTACGTTTGATTATTTTTAAGTTTTTTAAATTTGAAAAATTAAATTAAAATAATTATTTCTCAAAACATCTAAAATAACTTTTAGATGTGCTCCATGTTCGAAAAAAGCTTTCATTTATTAGATTGTTTTTATTTTTTTTTAGTTTTTCAACCCTGTACATAACTTTATTTTGTATAAACTGTACATAGGCTACCAAAAATTTCGTTATTATTGTTATTTATGTGTTATATGTCTTGATAATATTATTAATTAATTTTTAATCGAGTGAGAAAAAATTAAATAATAATTTTGATATTTTAGGTAGATTTGAGGCACATGGATGAAAAGGCTGGCAGCAATATTGTAGACGTTGGCGTAGATTTATCCGAGTTCTACATGTCGGTTGAGTGGGATATTTTGGAAGTACCAGCAGTAAGGTAGGAATTTGGTATACAGTGTAGCGCTACTTTGGTATTTCGGACGGTTGCAGGGGTTTTCGGAAAACTCGGTCGCCACCCTTAGGATTATAGTGGTTAAGGGCCCACGTGCGGAAAACCAGAGGTCAATATGCGGATCCCCAAAATGAATCACACAATCCAACTAACAAATTAAAGTTTTTATTTGTTTGCTTTTTTCGAGGGGCACGTGCTCATGTACTTTAAGAGTAGAACTGTTGCTCACATTTTGGCCCGCAACAATACTTGCCAAAAACGGAGGACTCCGGTCCAATGCGGTACGGTTTATAGCAGAAACTCTTTTCCACGGTCGGACAGCATTGGTTAAGACCCTCAACTCATGGGGCGGATGATAAGGCACGCGCGAAACTGTCCCAACAGGAACGGTTCATTCATTCCGGCGCTATGCGGTCTGGCATTCACATAAAAAACGGTACAGTAACGGACAGACCTACGGTCGTCGCCAAAACAAACAGTTTCTCGGTGGAAACGGGGACTGATGACGTAATCACCTAACATCATTCACATGCGCAAAACGGTCCCTGCTCGGGCGCCAAATTTATAACGCTACTTTAGTTTTCCGGGCGGTTAAATGGGTTTTCGGAAAACTTGGGCGTCACCTTTAGGATTATAGTGGTTAAGGTCCCACGTGCTTCTGGTAGCTTGTTACAGTGGAGCCGGAAAACCAGAGGTCAATATGCACATTCCCAAAATGAATTACACAATTTAACTAACAAATTAAAGTTTTAATTTGTTCGCTTTTCTCGAGGGGCACCGGATCATGTACTCTTAGAGTAGAGCTGTTGCTCATATTTTGGCCCACGCATGCGTATAACAAGACTTCCCAAAAACGGAGGATGGTAACGGACAGACCTAAGTTCGTCGTCAAAACAAACGGTTTCTTGATGGAAACGGGGATTGATGACGTAATCGCGTGGCATCATTCACATGCGCAAAACGGTCCCTGCTCGGGCGCCGAATTTATAGCGCTATTTCAGTTTTCCGGACGGTTAAAAGGGTTTTCGGAAAACTTGGGCGCCACCCTTAGGATTATAGTGGTTGAGGGCCCACGTGCTCCAGATTACTTGTTAAAGTGGAGCCGGAAAACCAGAGGTCAATATGCACATCCCCAAAATGAATCACACAATCCAACTAACAAATTAAAGTTTTTATTTGTTTGCTTTCCTCGAGGGGCACGTGCTCTTAGAGTAGGTAGAGCTGTTGCTCATATTTTGGCTCATATTTTGGCCCGCGCATGCGTATAACAAGACTTCCCTAAAACGGAGGACTCCGGTCCAATGCGGTACGGTTTATACCAGAAACTCTTCTCCACGGTCAGACAGCACTGGTTAAGACCCTCAACTCATGGGGCGGATGATAAGGCACGCGCGGAACGGTCCCAACAAGAGCAGTTCATTCATTCCGGTGCTATGCAGTCTGGCATTCACAAAAAAAAAAAAACGGTACAGTAATGGACAGACCTACGGTCGTCGCCAAAACAGACGGTTTCTCGGTGGAAACGAGGACTGATGACGTAATCACCTGACATCATTCAGATGTGCAAAACGGTCCCTGCTCGGGCGCCAAATTTATAGCGCTACTTTAGCTTTCCGGACTGTTGAAAGGGTTTTCGGAAAACTTGGGCGCCAGCCATAGGATTATAGTGGTTAAGGGCCCACGTGCTCCAGGTAGCTTGTTACAGTGGAGCCGGAAAACCAGAGGTCAATATGCGGATCCCCATAATGAATCACACAATCCAACTAACAAATTAAAGTTTTTATTTGTTCGCTTTTCTCGAGGGGCACGTGCTCATGTACTCTTGGAGTAGAGCTGTTGCTCATATTTTGGCCCGCGAATGCGTATAACAAGACTTCCCAAAAAAGGAGGACTCCGGTCCAATGCGGTACGGTTTATAACAGGAACTCTTCTCCACGGTCGGACAGCATTGGTTAAGACCCTCAACTCATGAGGCGGATGATAAGGCACGCGCGAAACGGTCCTAACAGGAGCGGTTCATTCATTCCGGCGCTATGCGGTCTGGCATTCACATAAAAACGGTACGGTAACGGACAGACCTACGGTCGTCGCCAAAACAAACGGTTTCTCGGTGGAAACGGGGACTGATAAACTAATCACCTGACATCATTCACATGAACAAAACGGTCCCTGCTCGGGCGCCAAATTTATAGCGCTACTTTAGTTTTCCGGACGGTTAAAGGGGTTTTCGGAAAACTCGGGCGCCATCTTTAGGATTATAGTGGTTAAGGACCCACGTGCTCCAGGTAGCTTGTTATAGTGGAGAAAACCAGAGGTCAATATGCGGATACCCAAAATGAATCACACAATCCAACTAACAAATTAAAGTTTTTATTTGTTTGCTTTTCTCGAGGGACACGTGCTCATGTACTCTAAGAGTAGAGCTGTTGCTCACATTTTGGCCCGCGCATGATTATAACAATACTTCCTAAAAACGGAGGACTCCGGTCCAATGCGGTACGGTGTTTATACCAAGAACTGTTCTCCACGGTCGGACAGCATTGGTTAAGACCCTCAACTCATGGGGCGGATGATAAGGGACGCGCGGAACGGTCCCAACAGGAGCAGTTCATCCATTCCGGTGCTATGCGGTCTGGCATTCACATAGAAAACGGTACTGTAACGGACAGACCTACAGTCGACGCCAAAACAAACGGTTTCTCGGTGAAAGCGGGGACTGATGACGTAATCACCTGACATCATTCACATGCGCAAAACGGTCCCTGCTCGAGCGCCAAATTTATAGCGCTACTTTAGTTTTCCAGACGGTTAAAGGGGTTTTCGGAAAACTTGGGCGCTACCCTTAGGATTATAGTGTGCCACAATTCAATATTTCAACATTCACACCGTAAAAATTATAGTAATTCCGTGTGTTAAAATATATTTTTCCTACGAGCGTGCGCAAAGTAGTACTTTTCCGCACGCATTTCCGGGCTCAAAGTTACACTTTTCCGCACTCAGTGCGGATACAGGCCTTATCCGCACTGAGTGCCGAAAAGTAATTATAATTGTCAAGCAACAATAAGTGCACCTGTCGACTTTGACACATGATGACAAATTTTTCCTCTATTTCTATATCAGCCAACATCTATACAAACACCAATTATAAATTAACTTTGACACATCAGATTTGTTCTCTATTTATATGCAAAAATCTACAAACTTTCTCATCAAATTTAAACGCTTTAAGATGAACAGCTCTGACGAGGATTTTCTGTTATTTTTTTTTGTTATGTAATTTTTTGATAAATGCATAGGTTCCCTTCAAGTTAATTAAAAATAATTAAACAAATTATCGGTTTTTTTTTCAAATTTTTGTTATTACCTACCTGATATGAAGCTCGTAGGAAAAATTTTGTTCCTAACACGTGCGCAAAGTGTCTTTTCCGCACGCAAACACGTATCCGAACTCCGCTTCGCGTCGTTCGTATAACTGTGTTTGCGTGCGGAAAAGTAACACTTTGCGCACTTGTTAGGAAAATAACTATAGTGAAACATTTAGATATGTGAAAACTAAAAATTTTTACTTTTTCCAGAAATGAAAAATTCTACACTTGTTGCGACGAGCCGTATCTGGACATCACATTTAACATCACCATGAGAAGGAAAACATTATTTTACACAGTCAACATCATCATTCCTTGCATGGGCATTTCGTTTTTAACGGTTCTGACGTTTTACTTACCATCGGATAGCGGCGAAAAGGTAAGAATACTTTTAATTAAAACTCTACGAATTCTTTGGCAAGAAAAATGCACCTCCATCCTTTATGTTCCAGTAAAAATGGAGCTATATAAGAAATAAAGATGTTCGTCCTAGACAATGCGCATTTCTTTTAGAGAAAGAAATCAAGTGGAAAAATCATGGTGTATTGTTCTTTTCTTTCCGAAACCGATTTTCTTTTATGGGCTTTTAGCTACAAGATAAGGGAGAATATTATGTTGCTGGAATTTTTATCCGGCTTGATGTTGAATGGTAAAACATTCTTTTGTAAACTTATCAACCTACCTTTAGCCTCTCAAACATGTGTGAATAAATCCAACATTATTCTTGACTTGTAATAATTGCTCTCTTTATTCATAAATTCATTAGAAAAACATGCATCAATTTCAGGAGCAAAAACCCATTGTCCTCTCTGACAGATCGCAGACACAGCTTCGGTGGAATTTAATATTTATAAGATATTCGGAAATGATGTATGGGCGTTAGGCCGCCAGGCCATCAAACATATTTTCCCTAGTCGTATATTTTCCTGCCCACTCTGACCCTTTTTAGGCGCTAAAATCATGATTTTGGATGGGGTTTGCGGTGATGTAGGGCATTTCCGGTATCAGATTTTTTTTCCCACTATAAATTTGACAGGCGAAAACAAAATTTAATCCTTTAGTTGAGATATCATGTCAAAAAAAACCACTCAATATATTACATAACATCAAAAATTTTCCTCAGAAATAAATCTCGAAAGGTTTTTTTTTTGTGTTCTACGAGAAAACATACTTTTTATATCCTGCCAATTTTCTTTTGATTATTCGCGACACTTGAAATACGAGACGATTGGAATATTTCTGGAAAAAAATGGCAAAAGATATAAGACTAGAATGTTTTTTTTCCCCTCTTGTTCTAGGCCTGTCCGATTTATTGTCCCCATGCAGCACTGAAGCCTGAGAAGGCTTATTGTACTTAGCTTGTGTGGTTTATTCCACCTACTCCAGCATTTTGGTGCCTTGTACGAGGTTCTACAGGTCTTTTACTGGGTGGTGTTTCATTATTGTTTCCGGTTTTACATTTGGTTGCCCGAAGATGCTGTGTCTTCTGCAATCCAGTGCCTCGCAGTTCACCAGGATGTGTCTGGCTGTCTCGGGTTCCTTATTGCAGAGTCTGCAATTAAGATTTCCGTCGTACAGGTTCGTCCTGTTGAGGTGGACTTTCACTGGTGATTGGCCAGTCAAGAGTCCCGTTATGGTTCTCAGTCGGCTCCTGCTCATTTGTAGCAGTTCTGCGGCCCTTTTGCTGCATGGTTGGTCGATGAATTCCCTACCATGATTCTGCCTGGGAGTTGTCCAGTGTTGCCGATGTTCTTTACCCGATGTGGCTTGTGTCCTGTCCTATTTTTCTAGGTTTTGGTATGAACGATACCTTAATGCGGCTTCAGGCCTTTGGTATATAGCCAAAGGCTAAGCTACTTCTTAGAATGTTACATAGTATCCTGTGCAAGCTCAGTTCCGTTCTGTAACATTATGGGATAGATCCCATCTGATATATGGGTCAAAGGTGCTCATAGCCTATTTGACTTTATCATAGTTGACTACTTTCTTCGAGGTCAGTCAGTCGTTCCTGGATGCTTTTCGAACTCTAGGCTTATTCCATGTCCACTGAGTTTGATCAACTATCTTTGAGCTGGGAAAGTGGGATCTTAAGGAGTTCCGTAGCTATCTCTTCCCCGTCTTTGTGTATTCACCAAGGTTGTTCTTGAGTGATTTGATTGTTGTCTTTGGGCCCCTTGACAGAGTTCTTTGTAGTCTAGCACAAACTTGAGTACTTTTTATATGCTCACAGTACTTCCTCCAAGACCTCCTCTGGGATCCCCTCAGCTCTTTCTTGAACTTTTTCAACGTGGTTCTGTATGTCTCCCACTACCCGGTTCTCATGGCTTTATTGAATTCTGTTTAAGTTTTTTTCCTGTCATCCCACCAGGGCACTTTCCTGGTGGATGTCCTTGTTGTTAGTGGACAATTTTCATTGAAGGCTGAGATAATTGCATCATTCAATTGACCCACAACCATCTCCAAATATTGAGTGTCTCTTATTGTCTTCCTGATGTTCAGCAGACTTCACTCCAGGTCAGATTACAGAGGAATTACTCAAATGATTTGGGGCTAGGTCACATCGATCACCTCTCTCCTAGTTGATTAACAAAGGTAGGTTTATTTCCTACATTTACTACATCTAAATTGTTTGCTATAATATATTGTAGTAAAAACTCACCTCTATTGTTGATGTTAGTACTTCCCCAGACTATGTGGTGAGCATTCGCAGCACACCCAATGAGCAGATGTGTCTTATCCGTCCTACAGTGTCTCACCAGATCCTCCACACTTCTGGTTAGTGTTGATTGAGGATCATCGTAGGGTAAGTAGGCCGATCCGATAATATCCCTCGGCTCATTGCCCCCGATGAGCCTGATTATGGCTGCCGTCAAATCCCTAGAACAAAAAAGAGTTAGGGGCAGTACATTGACGTTCTTTTTAATGTATATGCAGGTCCGAGGAGTGAAAGTGGATCTGCTGTAGATCATTTCTCCATTGGCACTGCTCAGTTCTTTAATTTCACCGTGTCTGATCCACAGTTCCTGAATCAGGGCAATATCTTCTTCCCCCGTAGCAGCAGAAAGGACCGCCGAGGCTGCCTTACTGTGCTGGAGGTTAATCTGAATTACTTTGATCGCTATCCTTCCTCTTTTCTGAAGGTAACGCGTCCCAGTTTATAATATCTTTTAAACTGGGTTCTCTCCAGGGTCTTGGATGAGTTTTCATCCATAGAGAAGTCCAGGAGCTGTCCTTTCTTCTCTGTTTTCCGGCTCAGCAGGAGCCATTCTCCCATCTTTAGGCGTGGGTTTTGTATCCTTAGACGGATTTTGATGACTTTCACTGAGGTCGCTTCTGGCTCTGGCACGAAAACGAGGAACCTTGCTTGGAATGTTTATTAGAGCGGAGAATAATATTTTCCATAAAAATAATTTAGTTTAAAAAAAGTCATTGAGCGTGATACTTGTTATAAGAAATTTAAATGGAGAAGAAATTAATTAATAAGTGTGACGGATCTGAACTAGGAATCAGAAACACCCTTTTTCTCTTTTGATACTTGACAGTGAAATATTCAGGATAAAAGCACGTGCCTCTTGAGCCATAAATCCTATGATCTGCTGCAACAGATCGTCCCATTGGTTTCGTCGAAACAGGCCTGTATAAGAGTTAAATTGCCCAATTATCTACCTTGTCGTTACCTTAATGACTTCGCTGAAAATACCTACAACTTGTTTTACCCTGCCTTTATTATCAAATTTATCTCCGAAACAACAAAATTGTTTTTTCTGTAATCCAGTGGTGCCCTCTAAAATCTCCCTAGATACTACTTTTTTCACAGAAATCCTTTCCGATGATCCTGATTTATATGCAAAACACATTAGGAATTTAACTAATATTTCCACAAAAGTTTCCTAACGAAATATCAACACTTATAACTTAAAGAAGACGAGACAATGTTTTTAATATTGGTGCTATAAAGTTTGGCGACGTAACAAAGTTCTCCCAGATGGTTCGAAAAAGTTTTCGGCAAAATTGTCACCTAAAATATATTTTGTGTTTCGTCAGAAATCGTGATTCGACTGGGAGATATTTAGGAAGCGGCACAAGAAAGAGATAAAATTTTACCTTGACTCCACTTCAGACATTGTTCTAGAATAGTGTTTTTGATTCCGATAACTTTCTGGAATATATCAACGTATCATTGATTTCTCACCTGCCGCGTTCTCGCCTATTTTCATTATCCTGACGTTCTTCTTTACAGTTGGTGCATCTTTTTACGGGATAATTTCTCCTTTTCTCTTGATTGGGTCTTTTTTACGTTTTTTTTTTCGACGGTTCCTTTTCTTTTGGTCGAGAAGAGATCGTTTCTACGTCACCCCTTTTTCAACTGAGAGGTCATTACGAATATAAACGTATGCCTTTTGGTCTAAAAAATGCACCATCCATTTTCCAACGAATAATGGACCATATCACTTACAGATCAATAGCTCACGTTTCTGCATCCAATTGGGGTTGTGATGTACAAATATTGTACACTTTGAATGATGAGTCAAATACAAAGTATCACGTAAATAACCACGCCACTGACGGAGTTCATCGTGTGAATGGAAATAAATGAAATAGCCACAAGCAAAACCGCTTCTTTGTTGATAATGACCTCTTTTTAGTATTCCATTAGCTCTGTTTTCGAGTGTATGTGGCCGTTTTTGCTCCGACCGAAGAAGGTCAGGGAGAAAAGCACTTCGGTTTTAGTTTTGCATTATAAGACCTATTTTCTGACATCGATTTTTGGTGGAGGAAAGTATTTATACACTAACTGACCCTGATGGAAAAAAAAGCTCTGTAATCTGGGAACATGCCTCAAATGATTTTTGCCTCAATTGAATCCCATATATCTTCTGTCCTGGATTAGGGAACGTCGGTTGAAAGAGATTTATTGTTGTACCTCGGTGGTTTCAGTTTAATCCCTAAAATGTGTTAGATTCAAATAAATTATTCTTTTATAATATGAATTAACTCCATTTCAAATATTTTCGTTAAATGAAAGCCCGGTTCCATTTTCGAGTGAGTAAAATTCGGTCTGAATTTTCATTTAAAAATGTGCTATCCGGTTGGCAGTCGTCAGACATGTTGGCCTAATGAGACCAGTCAGTCTTGGATGGGTCTCCTATCACGATATTCATTTATTTTTATTAAAGCAGAAGTCCTTTTGCCACTTTAGAAAAAAAAATTTGGGCTGCGAGGAAAGTGGAAAATAATGATTAACAGTAACTCACTTTTTGATGCAAAATATATGTATTGCAGGATGTTGAAGTGCAAAGTCCTCTGCAACATAAATGCATTTTTCGTTTTAAAGTTCCACATCAGTTTTTTGATCCTAAAAATTCAATTAAAAGCAAATTTCAGCGTCAATGATTAAATTCCATGGTGAATGGGGGCTTTATGGAAACTGGAAAAACGCAATGGAAAACCGGCCTGAAAGCCATCATCAACAAATCGGAGTAGTTGTTAGGTGAAGTATAAAATAAACGAAATAAAAACTATAGTTCTCCTTTTCTGGTTACAATCGATGTGTGCCTATTTTGTTTGTACGAGAAAAGGGATAGTGCTTATTGGGTTATTTATTTTTGTAAAAATAATTATACAAACTAGCCCTCTAGGAATAAAAAAAAAAACAGCCCTCCTCCTTTTAAACGCAACACCGTTTCAAAATAACTTCGTCGTTCTACTTTCGCAAAGGCATTCAGGACCTGTAATCGGGCAAATCTATTATTTAGAGAGGGCTTTCATCAGCCCGGAGATGGGGGTCTCTCTGAGGAATAACCATTAAAGCCGCGATGCAGTGGTGGCGCACCTTGTATCATGCTAATCCCTTATGGCGGATAATAATACTATCAGGAACATTAGTGGGGTTGTTTATTACCAGGTAAACATATTACGATTATTTTTGTTCAATATAAAATCTCTGTTTTAGTTTGAATAATTGTCTGTCTCTAATTTGTCCCCAAAGTTCGATCGATTGGTGTGAGAGTTGTGAGACACAGATAATCTATGCACGGGATTGAACAGTAATCGTTGGAAACTCGTTATCCATTATCGACACCCTGGATTAGATTTCTCGCCGAGGGAAACCTCCTAATTTGGACAGGCAACAGGGAAGTCTATTTGCAAGTTTATCTCTACAAAGAGGTCCTCAATTGCTTATTTTGGTTAAGGGCACTATGTATTCACATATAATATAGGCTTGGAGATCGGCTCTCAAAGTCACATTTCCACTAAATATTTTCCTATGATGGATGGAAATACATTAGCATGATGGTTATTTGTCCTGTATCTCTTTTTTTCTAGACTTTCGCATATTACAACCAATTTCCGATTCACATTTCCCTTTTGCATCAAACACTTTGTTCATAATATATAAGACTATGACTAATTTTTCTTTACACAAATTATTCTTCTCCGAACTTCAATATTGTCAAGCAGTTACTTCAAATTCATCAAAAATCCAAAACTCACTTAAAAACTTTTTATTAAAAACCTAACGACAGACTGATATTGAAATGAAATTCTACCCTTGCACTGCTGCTAAGACTTGATTTATTAAAAAAAAAATCTCCCCAAAGAAGTGAAGTTGAAAAAGAAAACTTAATTAATTTTTTAGAATATATAACATAGTTTTAATCCACTTAATTGATTTAATTTATCATTTTGAAAAGTCCAAGTGGAAATTGTCCGCTACATAATCCAACAATCAGTGTCTAATAGTTGGGAAATTCGAATTCCGTGAGTTTAGGTCATAACCGTGCGGAAATTACACGTTTCTCGCACGTAATAACGGTCGATAGGAACTTCGGGCGAAATGGCAAACTAGTTTCGACAATCATTATGATAGATTGCTTTATAGTTCAACTAAGTACATTATATACTCCAGAAATTGTTTTGTAAATGTTTTTGCTCGTTTCTAATAGACTCAGGTGGGAATTAGAGTAATAACTATTAGGGTTTTTATTATTTTGAGGTTGATTCCAAGACAAAGTCCATCACACGAAGTAGAAGTACAATAATTATAAGAATAATAATGATGATTACTTTCCATTTGCACAATTTAAAAACAAATATATATTCTGCTGAAATATTATACTAAATTATTCCAATTATCCAGACCAACAATACGTTTTTCCTTTCATTCTAATAAAATTTTTGATGCCAAAACGACTCTACTACAGCCTAATTGGCCGCCGCCAGAAAAAGAACTCGGTCTCAGTAATTCAAATGGCACATAAAAGTTAATAGGGACATAATGTCGTTGCAATTTTTTTTTTTTTGACAAAATAGCGTTGAGAAGAGGGTATCGCGTTCGAAAATTGCCTTTCATATACCTCAACGACAACAGAAGGAGAAAATTGTATATAGAATTTATTGAAATATATTTTTTTAGAAAACTCCTTGCCTAAATCCCATTGTATTTTCGAGGAACGTCAATTTGCGGGTTCATAAGAATTATTTCGGTTTAGATTTCTTTTTTTCAATTATGGACAGAAAAAATTCCTCTGCGTTTTAATTTATACTCCCTTTTCTGGCTCGATTTCCTTCCAGTTCCGTGCACAAAATTCCCCAAAATCGGAATCAAACGATGGCATCTGCGGAATCTGAATCCATCAATTTGCAGATTATCCCTCGGATTTCGGTATGTTATCCAATTTTACCGTCAATTTGTGAGTTGACAGGAATCGGGAGGAGGTTTCCATTCATCTATCATTTTGTGATGACAATGGGGTGTTGTTATTATACAATAATATGAAAAAGGTGAAATATTGGAATAATTGAATAAGAAAACATCTTCAATTATTATTACTATAACTACTATTTTCTGTTTCAGGTTACGCTCTCCATCTCAATTCTTATCAGTCTTCACGTATTCTTCTTACTAGTAGTCGAAATCATCCCTCCCACGTCACTGGTTGTTCCGCTTTTAGGAAAATATCTAATATTCGCCATGATATTAGTTTCGATAAGGTAAGTTTCATAATCCTCAAAGTTTCCCAATTAAAAACACCTTTCTGTCGACTAGATGTTGAACGAGACGCTTGGAAAACACAAATAAATTGTTTTAACATACGAAATAACCTTAAAAAGCGAATGCAATTAAAATATTTATACAAAATTCTAGTTCGCATATATGCAACATTGAAATCTCCATTTGATATTTGAGATTAGTTCCTTCGATTTTCGACAGCAATAGTACGAGATTAAACTCGGAATTTAATGCCCCAGATCAAGAAATTTCATTAAGTTTTGTCTCGTTAAAGTTTATCCAGATTTCGCTTCAACAACAAAATCGTCAAGACGCGTCAGAGAGGAAGTTTCTCTTAGTTTTTGCGGTTACACGTTCTCACATGAACACTTAGTCTTAGTTCGAATTAAATGCAACAAATTGAGATTTCTAGTTGAAAACGGGATAATTTAAAAGTTGTCAGTTAGTTTTTATCAAACTTCCAAAGTTGGGATAATTAACTTTGGAGTTAATTAGATTGACGTGACTCCTTTTAATTGGATATGAAAACTCCTGATTACGTCAGTTTTGTTTTTCAATTGGAAGTTTAAACGTGAAATTAATTTGGTGGAACGTAATTTGTTGGCTTAAAAAGTTATTCTTTTTGAGTGACATAGATTGAATATATTTTTCTATTTTATGGTTCAATCAATGAATGAATGAATAGGGGTATCCTCTACTACCACGGTCAGAGAGTGTTCTTTCTCCACGATTATGGATACTAGTAATGGACAAAATCCTTACGAGACTGAGTAGTGCTGGATACCAGGTCATAGGCTATGCAGATGACCTGGCCATTATAATCAAAGGCAAACATGAAGGCGTAATAACAAGCCGAATGCAAAGTGCTCTAAACATCGTTAAAGATTGGAGCGAGGGGGAGGGATTATCCCTAAACCCAAGCAAAACAATTCTTGTCCCACAAGAAGAAGGAAGCTAAATTTAAAAGCCCCCACTCTTTACAGTACAACACTAACATTCTCCAACGAAGTGAAATACTTGGGGGTCACCCTGAACCAAACACTCACTTGGAACAAACAGTTAGAGAAAACATGCTCTAGAGCTATATCAGCCATCTGGTCATGCCGCAAACTGGTTGGTGAAACATAGGGGCTAGAGCCAAAGATGGTATTCTGGATTTACAAAACTCTAATAAAGCCCATGGTTATATACGCCTCATTGGTATGATGACCCAAAACTCAGCAAGTCACAACTCAGATCAAGCTAAACAAGGTACAAAGGCTGATATGCCTAGGAATAACGGGAGCAATGTCGACCTGCTCCACCGCAACCCTAGCGACGCTGCTTAACATGCCTCCACTTCACCTATGTGTGAAAAAGAAGGCAATAATCAGCGCTCACAGGCTATTCCAAACAGACAAGCCTGGTGATCTGAGGGGAGATCTGCGCATCTTTGAAATAATAAAACTGGAGAATGCCAGCAAACCAAGCGACCACATGATGGTCAGATTGGACTTAGAGATCCCATTCGCAGTGGTAATAAACGAGCGTTAATCATGGGAGAATGAAAAATTACCACAAGCAGACAATGCATTTCTGTGGTACACAGATAGATCCAAACTAACGGAAGGAGTTGGACTGAGCATTTCCGGCCCTAACTTTAAGCTCTCCAAGGTATTGGGCAAACATCTTACAATATTTCAAGCCAAACTGCTTGCCGTAAACATATGTGCACAAGAGTGTCTCAACCAAAGCCTCAAAGGAAAACACATATTCATACTATCAGATAGCCTTAAGGTCTTTCAAAACTAGTCTGGGAGTGTAAACAGACCCTAAAAACACTAGCGAACATAACCAGGTAACGCTGATGTGGCTGCCTGGTCATCAAGGCATAGAAGGAAACGGAGCAGCAGATGGCCTCGCAAAAGAAGGGGCCTCAACACCATACCATAGACCAGAGCACCATTGTGACTTAATGAAAAGCCACATCATGGAAGAACTCAATAAATGGGAGAAAGACCAACTGTCATCATATTGCAGGTATACTCCGGTACTAAGGGATAACTCGCAGAGTTTCCTGACCCTGAGTCAACTCTAACTCTGAGCTAACTAGCTAGTTAAGTCGAAAGGTGTTTATCCAAGCTTTTTTAACCCAGGGCTGGTAAACTCTCGGGTTCTTCGAAGGTTGGCACTACCTATGCAACGTTTCCAGCGCACTTTTATTTATTTTTTCAAATTTTCTGCTCATAACCTTACTTAATCATGTTATTTTTTTCTTTTTTTCGTTTCCGTAAGGCATTTATACCAAAGTAGCATGCGACGCGCTACCGTGCGACTTGCTGCTAGAAAGCAGGGAGCACGTTGCAACTTGAGTTTTCCATGCTTACATTCATACCAAAGGCCATTTGAAGATGCACATGTTTACAGATTCGGATATATATCCTTTTGAATGTAACACTTGCAAAGTGAAATTTAAACGAAAAGGTGTTTTGAAGAGGCACGCACATGTTAGCACACTCGGATATTTATCTTTTTGAATGTGACACTTGCAAAGTGAAATTTAAACAAAAAGGCAATTGGAAAATGCACATGTTAACACATTCGAATATTCATCCTTTTGAATGTGACACTTGCGAAGCAAAATTTAAAACAAAAGGCGTTTTGAAGAAGCACATGTTAATACATTCGGATATTTATCTTTTTGAATGTGACACTTGCAAAGTAAAATTTAAAATAAAAAGCGTTTTGAAGATGCACATGGTGACACACTCGGATATTTATCCTTTTGAATGTGACACTTGCAAAGTAAAATATAAACGAAAAAGCGATTTGAAGAGGCACATGTTATCACACTTGGATATTTAATCTTTTGAACGTAACATTTACAAAGCATAATTCAAATGAAGAAGACCATCTGAAAAATCACATATTAACACATTCGGATATTCATCCTTCTGAATTTGACACTTGCAAAGCAAAATTCAAACGGAAAGCGATTTGAAATAGCTATTTACTTAACAAGTGCGGAAAATTAATTTTTCTGCACGCGGCTGCCATTCACCGAACGACGCGTCACCAGAAGAAGTGGACCAACTGATACCCAGAAAAATAACTTCCTTCGGCAGAAGTCTACGCTTCCTGGAGACAATTCAAGATGTAGAGTCACGTACAAAATATCTGCAAACGTAGCAGTACTGAGCGGCAGGAAAGCCGAAACGACTCCCCCACAATCTATAATCTAGGGTTATTATTGCACTGCGATCTGCATAAACCCAAAATAGAATAAAAACACATTGGAAACGACTTTTTTATCAATGTACAAAGTACACAAAATCCAGACCAATCTAAACCCCAAGCATCCTCTTGAAAGATACAATATTTATTTTGCCAAATTACACCGACATGTCTTGACGATTTTCTCCCCGATCCAGCTAAATATCTAAATTACATTTTGAGAAATTGTATTGCCGATTCTAGCATGTAGAAATCAAATATCTTTGTTGTTTTTCCAGTATATGCGTCACAGTAGTTGTTCTGAACGTTCACTTTCGATCTCCGCAAACGCACAAAATGTCACCGTGGGTAAAAAGAGTATTCATCCATATTCTTCCTAGGCTTTTAGTAATGAAAAGACCCCAATACGTTTTCGAAACACACAGGTAAGTAAATAGGCTTAAATTATTTCAATGATCAAGTTGAAAGTGTTTTCTACTTTCAGTCGTTTCATGACAAACAGATTGCTCTCAACCAGCGGTACCAACATGTCCACTTCATGTATTTACCCCTATCACACAACAGTGAGAAGGCCTAGTGCGAGTCCTAAAAGGCGGATGCCGCCTCCATCAAGTAGGACACCTTCCAGAGAAAATATACCACATAGGTAAGAAGTTTTACATTGTGTTTAAAAAGACTTTTTGTTAAAAACTTGGTAAGGATTTCGTAAATGTGTGTGTGTGTGTGTGTGTGGCATGAATAAACGATGAAAAATATCTCTTTTGCCTTTGGCTATATCGATGCTAAATGTCAGTTTTGTGCCAGATTATTCCTGGATCTCTTAGCGGTAGAAGAAGGATGAAGGTTTGTGTCATATTTTATACTAGTATCGTTTCAGAATAATAATTGTAAAATTTTTACTGCACATAAATCGGCCTATCTTCTAAATGCTGATACATTCATATTGCCAACTCTGTCCTGTTTGCGATGCATAATCTAATAATGGACGATATGCCATTATGTACAAGTCGCTCTAGGACAATAATATAATCTTGTATACACCTCGAGGAAATACCTATATTAGCTCAAACAGATTATATCATATTTGAGAATATCCTGAAGGGGTCTGCTGAAATATATTATTACAAAAATATCTCCAAGAATTCTCGAGTCTAGATTAATAATTAACAAAAAAGAAGCTCTAAATAAGGATACAATTATACAAATTTAAAGAATTCGCATGTTAAGATAATTAAATGTCAACGAGCGGAAAATTTAATGTGTTGGCGTGACTAAGGGGAAGAAGAATTCACTGCAGTGCCGCCAAATTGATGGGAAGGCTTGACGCGTTAAATGCAACGACATTTTTAAGTTATGAAAGAAATAAATGAAAGAATTTAATACTAATTACTCATGCAATGAGTATACATTATTTGGAAGGAGCATTTCAATGTTTTGTACCGAGTAATGGATTTATTCTTATCTAATCTAATCGAGTTCTAAGATAAATCACAACTCGCTGATTTACTATCGATTACAATCCACTATTGACAAAGCATTATTTTGTTGTGTGTTCGGAACAGTCAAGTGGCGGTACTGTCACCGATAACCAACAGCCTACTAGACTGAAATGGAGCTGAGGTGGACCGCAGTAGTAGCTGCCCAACATTTGTTATTCACATTGTGGGGGTGACAAAACAGGTCCCACTAGGAGCACCAGTCAGAACGAAACTGGGGTGTACCAGTATTCAATATATCAAAAAAATAATAATATAAGTATGTTTATTCGTATTGAGATTTTATGTAAGAATTGATATTTTGGTAGCGTGAATAATTCTCTTAACATCTTAAAATTTCATGGTAAATTCTGCTGAAAAGTAAATTTGATCTGAAGCAGTAAATAACAGTTTTCTGAACCGGAGGCAATCTGAACGAAATCTTCTTTCTTCTCTTCTTGGAGTGGTTATTGAAAGGTGTTATTAGAGATTCAAAATTAGTACCATTTACCACTTTTCTGCTAAAGCTGGAAACACCTTCTTTAGCCGCACAAACCGGCACGTAAGATCACCTCTTTGGAGAGCTTTTACTAAAACACCGGGCGGCAGATGAACTAACTAGAGGATGAGAAACGGATCGAGAACTCGTTGAGACTTAAATTTCTGGCGATAACTCGTAATAAAAACTAGTTGCGAATTGGCGATAACTGAAGTTAACTGGCCTCAACATCTGCTTAAATAAGCGAAAGGAACCACACTCTAGGTACCACTCTAGAAGCCAATTGGCTACCCCTTGGTACCGGGCTTACGAGAATCGACAAAGTCGAGGATCTCCAACACTCTTAGCTTTCAGCCATTCGCTGAAAGTATCCTTTGGTTTCTTGTCGTGTTCCCATTGGCTCTCAAGTGGCCCTGTGAATAGTTTGATGGCTTTCCAACAGAGTTCGCTAGTTTATGAATAAAATAAAAGTTCCCTAATTTCTAACCTAATTATCAAGGGTGTGAAACAAACTTAACTATCCTCTATTATTATAATAACAAAATAATTGAGTAATCACTCCTATCTTAACCTACCTATATCTTAATAGTTATTATAACTAAGCATTTGACTATCTTACAGTTGACATTTCACCCAAGTAGTAACCCTTGAAAATTATATTGTTATACAATTGGTTATTGTATCTAAAAAATCCACCTCCTGTAATTATTGCTTCGCTACACACACATATGCTTCAAAAATACATAATTCTTTACAGCTCTATTAGTTACCTGACATCTTGGTTCGTCATAAAACGTGGGTATTCAGAGATTATCCTTGACTTTGAATAAATTATTACAACCATATGGGATCTGGTTAGGTCGACAGATTAGTTTAAAGTTTAGTGTTTATCTAGGAAAACATAAATTTTGTCTATATATTTGTCAATTTCGGGTTACAGCAATAATAATCTTGAAGCTATAAAATTCGATACTTTTTTGGCCTTCAAGTGATTTTTACCCTCGAACAGATTAGGTCGTTCGCAGAACTCCACGCGTTTGTAAATTTCATTAGGGTCACATTTTAGCTATCTATGAAAATAAAACTTTTCCCACGAAAGATGAGCTTGAACTGAGAATACAATATGGCCCATGGACAATATGAATTAAAAATTTAAAAGAACCACCTTTCCATTGACTCTTATGGCTCACTTCAAAACTAAGCAGCATGGTTTTTACCAATTTTCTTTCGCCTCAGTAACGAAATTTCCACGCTTAGACAACCTGGTAAATACACAACGGGGTATAGTTATGAAAACCACCGAATTGCTTAATAAACATTCCATTAAAGGACTCATAAAATGAAATTGAATATATAAAGGACTCAACTTGAAAAAGGCTTTTCCCCTAAAAGTCAGAGCTCATTGGGGAAAAGTCCTTTGAGGTTTTCTGGCATGAAGAGGCTTTTCGAGAGCTATCGATTGTCGGCCTCCGTACGCTCTTCTTTTTTTTATTCTTAACTTAACTACCTATAAGACTATAGTGCAGCATTTTTCATGTAAATTGCATTGGAAAAATCCTGGCAGCATAACGTCCTAATTGCTTTACGTTGTAGAAGCCTTGCTTTTTTTAATTATGCATTGTTTCCGTGCAAAAACATGAAATCTCAATTAATGTAATGCATGCAAAATACGCTTTTCCGCGCGGTATCAACCCCCTACGGAGTATAATATTAGGTTTCTTCACCCAACGTTGCTGGCTAAGAAAATTATAAAACCCATTTAAAAAACGTTTTACCTGAAATTCATTAGAGGTAGATTTGATTGATGATCACATAGTTGGAATTATACAAATATTTTTGGCAATCCTATATTGTAGATTTTGGGCTCAAAGCACTCACAAATAAAAAATAATTGGTACCTATGTGAAAGAGTTTTGAGTTAAGGTTTAGAGCCTAAAAAGTTCAAACAGATAAAACTGATGAGGGATTAAAAGGTAATGTTTATACCTGAAGGTGATTTAGGATTGAAGGGTTTTCATACTTTACTGATCAAAGCATTATACTCTTGATTAAATATTAATTAGAAAATATTTGGGCTTCCTAATAGGATGTTGCCAATAAAAAATAATCAATTTATTTCTATTTATTTATTCAATTTATATAAATCACCTGTCATAATCCTATGAATTATGTTATTCAAATGCTCCACCTTGGTCGTTCTCGCCCTTAAGGACGTTTCCATCAACTGAATATTTTAGGGAATCCTCAATGATTATTCCTTAAAATGACAGTCTTCCATGAAGAAATATCAGGTTAAGGAATACTTATTGTGTGAAATTAAAGCTGGAAAATCCACAGAATGCTGATAGAATGGTAATCGATGAAAGATTTTAAATTGAAATATATCGAAACTGAGAGGGATATTTTTTCACCTTACCTGGCTTTACTTCCAAACTCCACTCAGTTGGCCAGCTCTTTCAGGAAGTTCAAGTCCAATGAGAAGGAGTGCAAACGAAACCGTCTTGATTTAACCGGTCGCGGCAAACTAAAAACCGCCGGTCTATTTTCTCGAACCACACGAAACGGACGGAGTGTTTTTGGCGACTGACTTTACTCATCGGCAGTGTAAGGCATTTGCAGGTTTCATTTTTCAATGCTTAATGCGCACATTTTTTAAAGCCAAATTTATCAAAGCCATATCAATTCTTAGACATATGGCATATAGCACGCGCAATTCAATTAGAATAAAAGAAAACAAAATTAAAGAGAAAAAAAAAACGAATCAATTTCCATTCCCAAATAGGATTTGACATCCTAAATACCCAATTTGACCTACAAATATATACAGGGCGCGTAGACAAAACTAAACACTTATCGTTAGGGCTTTCTTGTAATAGTTGGTAGAATGTCATTGGTAGAAATGGCCATTATATTGTCAAATTGTGACAGGAATGACAGCTACTTTACCTGAAATCCGCTACTGGACCGCTACGAAATTTTAATTTCGACGAAATAATGCATACAAATTGACAAAAAAAGGACTAATTGGTGTTCCAATTAATAAACTGCGATACAAAAACTTAACATTTTTATGCATTATCTAAGACAAGTCACGTCCCAATTCATTATCTCCAGCCCATAAATTCTAATTAAGCTAAAACTTTCGGATACGAAACAATTGAAGGCAACTTGCAGAGCATAAAACAATAAACCTCCTCCCAAAAGTATAACTTTTAGAGCCAACTTTCGGCAAAGTTTTAACTTATTTTGTCTTGGCCTTTTTGTTCTCTAGTGTAATGTTTCGACCTCTCTCAGCCAGTTCGTAAATCGTTTCTTCAACAATACGGTTTCGCTCTCTGAAGAATCGCGGATGATTAGAAAATATTTTTTGATGGATTCTCGATTTATTTATCAGCAATTTGATGCCAGACAGAAAAAAATCGTTTATTTCGTTAGCCAAACTTTAATAGGAGCGATATTGAAAAAGTTTCCCTCCTGGACCGAAATCGACCAAAAATCTAATAAAGTTTATGCTTTGAACTACCGGAATCTTTGCCGCAAGAAGTTCTCTTTTGCCGAAAAGTTTTTGTTGAAGTTCCGATGATGGTTTTTGAAAATGTTTAGAATTAATGAATAATTAAATTTTACTGGAGTATGGTGGCTTCTTGTATAAATGTGAAGACAAAACCAGTC